TGCGATAGAAAAAAATAGCGCAAAAAAAATTTGCGCGAGTTGTTGAAGCGGTATTACATACCCGAGGCTCTCGTTCTCGCAGAAGCGCCTTCCTCTCCTCCGTGAAGGAAATAAAAAAAAAAAAAAGGACGATTCGACGATAACGTCGGAACGTGTGCCACCCAACTGTAATGGGTCGCATTACGTGTCCGTCGTTTGTATCTCGGTGTATACGCTAACATGTAGCAATTACAGGTGACTGAGGTCAGTGTTAATACGACGGTCGCGTGAGAGAGGAGCTCCAAAAATGATATGGCTCGCGAGCGGCGACGGCGCGTTTTCTTGCGTAAGCCATTCCATATAATACGCACGACACATCCTCCTCCGTAGGCAAAGGTCCCGGGCGTAGGAATATATTAATTTAGTGTACTCATTACGTATTGAAAGACTCGCGGACGCGGCGCGCGGAGTATATAATACGACAACGGTTGCGTGTAATGACAGTTCTACATGTGCGGGACGCAAGGTCGCATGGCCGCGCGCGCACGCGTGTGTATGTGTGTGCAGACGCGCGCGCGTACGGTCACTATAGAGGCGAATTTTAGCGAGATGTCAGACTGAACCTGCTGTTTGCCAAATAAAGCTTATAATATGTACTTAGTGCCCAAAAAACGCGGTCGTTACGGGAAAAACGAGTCATTTTAACCCTTTAATTATCACACGTAACTGGATAATTTCATGCAAAATAGCTATTAATTATTTAACATTTTACTCTTCGATGTAACTTCGCGTGCTTCATGTAGAGTTTAGAAACACGAAAGCTACGCAGTTTTTTTTCATAAGAAAAACAGGTTACGTTCCTAGAATTAATCGCAGTGAACACAGTCCATCGCTAAGTATTCTCTCAGTTATTAACGATATATGTCTTTTTATCCGCGGAACCTTGTCCACGAGACCTTGCGACCAATCTCTGCCTCGTTTCCTCGCTGATTTCCACGTGTGAATAACTGCGGTTATCGTATTTGTTATCGCATTGTGAATTTTTATTTCGTTATCGTAATAAGTGTTGCGCAATTAGTGCAATCTACCTGAAGAAGACCTTCGTCCAATATCAGACTCCAACATTCTGTATTTCCTTGGCACGTGTGCTCGTTCGTCTGCGGATGAGGTTTGACGAAGGCTTGCTGCACGTCGTTCATGTGTACCCTCTTCACTCGAAATACGAATTAGGCACGAGATACGCACCGGGGTCTTCGTCAAATTAATCGAGTATTATTAAAGAAACAACTTTTTTTTTTACAAGAAACTTCCACTCCGCGGCAAGAATTGCACATCCATACGTCGGCATGCGAATTTCAATTAATTTTAATCAGGTACGATTTTTTGTAAGTGTATATTATATCGCGTTACTCCAGTATGTTATTCCTGTATTCGAACGAATATCTCAGTCCATTGGCGATTCTGCGATAAACGAAATATCATTTTGAAAGGCACGGCGGAGGAGAGATTTGTGTATTCAACGTGGGCGGTCTTACGGAGTGATGTGAGAAGGGTTTCTTGGCCTCGTTCAAATCGCTTCGAGCCTCGTACAAATGAACGTGATGCGTTTCATAGAGATAGTCATTGTACTAGGTGGCTTTATCACTCGCACACTTATATCTCACGTAGTTTAATCTCCGTCTCGATAGCGTATTACGCATCGTAGAATTTACTGTTCACGTAACACCGAGATCCTTGAGATTAGACCGCAGGCGTACGAAACTTTATGCAAATTATCAACTTGGTAGTATAGTAGTAGTAGTAGTAGTAGTAGAGCCACCGGCTCGTCAAATGTACAAGGCCGGAACGAAGCGATCGCGGAAGTCCAACGTCCTCATTTTGCAACCAGTTTTTCATTAACAATACGAGGTGCCTTCCCGGTGATGTCTGGACGGGAAACTCGTCGGTATCCTCGAAGAGGCGTGGTATCCTAGTGTCTACCTCAAGATCTTAACTTCTTCTTCTTCTTTTTCTTCCTCTTCGTCTGCGAGAACCGTTCGAACGTCGCACTATCAGCAGAATCGCAAACTCGACTAAAGAAACCTTCCGGAACCGTTTATCGCGCCTATCTACGGAGCGGATGTTCCCCGAGCGAGAGACCGCCTTTTCTCCGGGTGATTGTTGAAGCTAACTTTTCCGCGAGATTAGCGTTCACTTCCAACCGCGTGTCGTCCGCGAGTGTCAGCGCGCGACGTCCAGGATCACAAACATCGCGGATCGCGTCCACCGCGGTTCATGGTAGTAGGGGCCCGTGCCACCTCTCCCATTGGCGGGGGCTTTTCAGAGACGTATTCCTCTCCACGTGCACGTGAAGAAGTCTTGCACACGTACGCGTTGCGTCACGTCTCGCTGGACGGACTCGCCGCGTACGGACTATCCGGGTAGGTCATTGTCACGATCGTCTTCTCCTACAACGATGAGATTTCTCGACGGGACGCATTGTATGATGTGCCCCGACAACAGCGTCGAAATTCAGATCCGGGGAAACGTCAACTTTCTCAGGGGAGTTCTTCGGGATGCTTTCGAATCCACGGCGTGACTTTGTCTTGAATAGTTACATCTTACATACGTTGTTAACCCGCTTATGCACAAACGAGATTTTAGGGGTTTAATGAGCGTTTTTTTAGTTATTTTCTTTTGCGTCATTAGAATTCGATACGTGTAAATGTATTGATATACGATGGTAAAATACATTGTAAACACATATTTAAATATTCGAACGCGTGCATTAAAATAGTTGCATTCTTTTTATATAAATACATCAGAATTTTAAAAGCAACAACAAAAGTAATTCAGTTTACTGCCAGTTTCTTTGCATATCTTTCTGCTTTCACATTTCTGGGTTATTGGAAAGATAAGACAACGATTATTATATCACGTAGTATACATACGGCTATAACTGAATTGCCATTCGCATTATCGGCCAGCTACTGTCTGTGATAAAATTTAATTTACGTTTTATAAAATGCACGTCGCGAACGGAACAAGCGGCTCGAGAAGCATCAAGCTCACACGTATGGCTTTCTCTAATGGGCACGATCTATTCGAGTCTAAAACTTGTTTTGCGCGTGCTATAAAATTCTATAATGCTATAAAGTAATAATGAGGAAAGAGTTAAACGCCGAGTGATATCTCTTATGAGTAAAGTGCTAAAAATGGTAAAGATCTCTTATAATTAGCTCTTTAGGAGTTATCTTTAGGAGCAACGAGTAAATTTTGGAAAAGTCAGAAAAAATTGAAAAGATTCTGTTTTCGTTTTTCGGAAAGCAGATGCGATATTTGAAATATCATAAAGATAATCATAAAGAAAAAATAAATGACATTGATTATGGAGATCGGAGTTTTTTCTTGAAAATGATTAGCAGTGTTATTGAACAAAAAATTTCTAAAGAAATGAATCACCGTTGTACTATCTATCTATCTATCTGTACTATATTATCATTGCAGTACATTACGTTAAATAAATTATTTCTGGAGATAAATCATAAACAAATTCTCCCGGAAATATCACGTAGTGATATCGCGAGTTATACAAGCGCGAAGGAATCCACAACAAGTAATAATTATAATCAACAAGTTGGCCTTTTGCGAACGTTAAAAACGCGTCGCGCGAATCCGCGACAACGATTGCCACAAAGAGTACATTCTAACTGTCCAAAATGACAGCATGATACTCCTATTAAAACAATGAGTTGTAATGATCGTTTATGATTGCCACTATGATTGCCACGTTTAGATTGCTGGATAATACAACTTGTGTAAGAATCGGTACACAAATACACAGTGCAGCCGCATCAAAATTTTAGAAAATGCATATAAGATATTTCGATATCTTTAATGAAAGTATAAAAGTCGAGCATACATGTAATTGACATGTAATTAACTTGCAAATTGAGATATTGTAGTAAGCACGTAGATTTAAGACGTAATTTAGAACGGTAAATGTACAAAAAATGTATTTAAAATTTCTTTTTATTAGCTATTAAAAATATAGCCATCACCAAGTGTTTTGTGGAAAAAAACTTTAAATGTGCTTTCTCCAAATTGGAATTTCACTTAAAATTGCTTTTTTTTCCGTCACATCGTTTTAATTGTATAACACATTAATAATAATCGCGAGAATTAAAGTTTTCGGTTTGAATTAAATTTTTCGGTAAAAAGTACGAATTGTAAAAGCGATCCATTTTCAATTGCCTCGTTACATTAAAGTGCGGTTAATGACGTACAATCGTGAGGGGCCCCCTGAAAGGGTGTGGAGCCGCAGGAATGGAGCCGCAGCGATGTTTTCGCGGTCAACGTTGTAAATAAAGAATGTCCCGTTTATGGACCGTAAACGCCGCTCTAACTGTGCGGCTTTGCGCGTGGTTCTTATCTCCTCGACGTTTGTTTCCTACTTCGTATATCACCGCTTGCTCCGCGTGGTATCATCGTGTGCCATTCCGAACCTCTCATTAACGGAATGTCGAAAAATCGCAAATGCCATGCCGTGGCCATATTCCCGGCGACAATGTCCGCAGCTCTTTCAGCGTCTCTCAAAACTGCAGCTGCGCATATCGCGAAAGGGCATTAAAACGCCAGGAGAGTCGCTCTAGATAAACGTGTTGCTGCAAACCGGACAATGTTTAAACCGCGGTCGTATCAAAGCAAACAACTGCTACGGGTGCGAAATGATTTGAAATAAAATTAAAACCCTGGCGATTTTGTTTACATGAAGATTATTGAGACGTATTAAACGACACCGAAGACTGTTATTACAGAGACGATAATTCAACATCCGTGACACTCGATTAGAAATCGGATAGCTCAAGTCAAGATAATTTTTCATCGATTTACTTAGGCATATATGTTTGATAAAAGAAGCCTGTGTACTTTGTACATAAATCATTACATTGTCGCAATCATGGTGACATTGTATACGCAGCAATGAGAGGCACTGGCCTTGGTTCTAATCTACAAGGCAATGAAATCAGGGTCGTTCGTACCTGGAAGGAGCGGTGGTGTGGATGATGGGGATGATGAAACTGCGGTGTGTGAATCATGTCGCCGGTCTCGGGATCCTCGCACCTGGATGACTTTGCGACCTCGACGTTACTCGAGGCGGTAATGGCCGCGTCGCCCTCTGCACTCGCGGAGTCGTCGGCGGTGTCTTCTTTCTTCTTCTTCTTCACTTCCGACTTCGTTTCCTAATAATCAATCTTTATATAATGATCACAACATCACAGCTTCGCTAAAGACAGTGCATTAATCACGCAAAATTAAAATATTCTAACACGTTCAACATGTATGTTCTTTTTATCAAGAGATTCAAATACTGTTGAACTTGCTAATAAAAAAATTATTATTATATTATATTATATTTAAATAGTTTTGAGAGAAGAAAGACTATTATTGCCGAAATCGACGTCAAAATAACTTTTGTTGATCTTATACGAATCCTCAGCTTGTAAATAACAAAATTATCCCAATCAATCACAGACTGAACGTTACAAAAGATATTTACAAAAATAGAAGCAAATAAAATTTTACGATCCGTCTCATAAAGAGGCTAGCTGTTGAAAGACAGACGAAATATTAACATATTGTCTATTCCTCACAAAGAGCCAAATTGTAGTTACTTTCAAGCAGAAGATACAAAGATATTCCACAAACCTCTGGTTGAGCCTCATCGAGGCCAACGAGCTGAAGCGCCGCCTCGAGATTAAATTCGTCGGGCAAGCCTAGAGTATCGTTGTTAAGCAGATGTTCTACGCCGGCGCTTGCCAAGAGACTGCCTCCGAGCAAATCTGAAGTAAAGTCATGCTCGAGTTCTAGAGTGTCGTTTAAACCCAGAGAATCACCGGTTAAGTCAGCCAAGGGATGATTGTCTAAAGCCAACGATGCTTCGTTGAGAAGCGGATCGTCCTCTTCGACGATGCTACTTCCACTTCCGTTCTGACTGCCGGAGCTGAGAATGTATTCGCCTGTAAAGAAGTACACAAATGTTCGATCGACGAATTGATTGAAATTTATAGCTAAATTCGTTTCACGAAACCTGGCGATCGACGAAAGAAAAAGGCGTTTTCGATATTATATGATTCATCATGAGAAGCACGCGTGCTTCGAAACGGCAGGTGATGAAACATAAGCGAGCGTAAACAAGTTCGCGTGCAGTCGCAAGGTTCACGCAGAGATCACCCGAGAATACTTAATTAGTCGTTTGATTGCGATGTTATACAGGTTTCTTATCCACCCTATTATGCAACTTTGTTCTGACACGACATCGACAACTGTTACTATTATAAGTTTCTTTATATGCATTCCATAATTTTCATCTAACAATGTAGTCGTTGTAGAATCAATACTTTTGCAAATTTTAATTATTTGATTATTTGACTGTTGCATTATTATAAAAGATAATTAATATAATTATCTATATGTATTCACATTTTTTCTACATATTTACGTTGGAGATTAAGAGTTGGAGCAAAAAACGATCAATGTTTGCGTTTTAATTAGATTTGTGTGTCTGTGTGATTATCTGCAATTAAAAAATAATACTTGCTCAATTGTCTTAACCACAGAACATATTAAATAATTGTTGATTTTATTTATATCTGATCATATTTGCAATGCTACGACATAGACTAAGTTGTGACACTTGTGTTCGAAAGCACTGTTTCACTAGTCAGTTATTTAAAACGTCGTTTATCGTTCGAGTTATATTAAAATCAGTACTTATCATGTTCATTTGATATGCAACAAAACTGTTAGTCTAGAATATCTTCGCTTTTCTTGTATCCACGCTACCAACAAAGTAATTAGTAGCATCGTGATTAATCGTTTATCGCGACCACCTTATTACGCGTACGTGAATTGTGAGAAAAAATAAATTCACAACATTTCACTGCACTGAATAAACTTATGACTCGGCAGAAACGGACCCGAAGCGCGGCGCTCGAAAACTGGCAGCTAGCGACGGACAGGAAAAATTTTTCAGACGAACAGAGAGAGGAAAAAACTTAACTAATTGAGAGACAAAGAGGGATGTTGTTGGAGATCCACCTGCTCGTTCTAGCTCTCGTACGTTCCCGCCCTACAGCCAATCGCGTGACCGCGTCGTTTCATCCCTATTGCGCACGCATGAAAAGATAACATGGACAAGGCTGTTCGAGAATCGTTCACCGTTTCCAAAATGCGTAACGTGGGTAACTAATAAAATATACTTCCATATGTCTCGAACAGACAGGTAACATTTTTATATTCAAACAATAAATTTCGTTTCAGTAAATTTCGCTCCTTTTTTTGAGAATCGACGTTAAAATATTGTTTTTCAAAACTGTAAAATAATTTGTTGTAAATAATTAGACAGATATAAGGAGAGAGAAAGATTTTCTAATAAAAATTGTTAAATTAACTAAATTATTTACTCACAGAGACTAAAATAGAGACTAAAAATACCTCATAACATTATCATAGTTATATATACCGTTTATAAAGTAAGATATCGTGAGATTAATAATTTAATTTGCAGTAAATATTTAATACTAAATAACTGAATATATAGATATTTATCTTGTTAACGATAAATATATAATTTCTTTAAAAGAGATTCATTATACATTTATTACACTTGTAAATATGAAATATAAGATTGAACATGCTTTGCTAATATTGAACAAGGATATATTTTATTTGACTTTTAGGAACTTATATATGTATATTGAACTTTCGTATTTATCGAAATCGGCTATCATTTCGGCTAGAATGTTCCACATTTCACCAGAACATTAAGTAAAAGGGCTTCTAGAATTTCTACCTGGACTTTTGACAAAACATCGATAATATCGAACAGCTCGAGCGGGCTACTTCCACGTGTGAAACATTTCCATCGAACACAAAAGCGTACTCCTTTTCTCTCCTCGTAACCGGGTGATGTTATTAGAGATAATAATCTCATAAAATAATAATTCGCCTTTCGGGGGCTGCCTGGAACCCGGGCAGGTCCGCCTGACGAAACGACGGACAGGTTGACCGTGAAAGAGGAGGATTTTCGTCCTGCGCGGTTCCTACCGGTGAGTGCCGGTGCCTCCCAGTAAAGAGAGAGATCGCACCTTTTGGATGCCTATTACATTAACGAGTGGTGGCGGCCATTGTCTGGCCCAAATGCGAGGCCGACCGCGCGATAATGGCCGTCTATAATTTGAGGGAAGTCAGAACAGCCCCTACCCGTTCGACGTAAAGCCTATTTAAAGCCCGGTGGAATTACGAGGTAAAATTACTTTCAGCCACACACACGCGCCGAAGTGTGCGCCACGCGTAATTGGTACAGGCATAATTTTTAACCGGTGCAGCATAACTTTTTGTGGCTTTTATTATCGCGCTCTTTCCGCTTCTCTTTGCTCCATAACAGGTATTTATTATACAAAATGTAATTTCTATTACGCCCTCTTATTCCCACAATAGAAATTTATACGTGTAAGCATAATTGAAAATATAAAAAAATTCAATTTTTCTTCGGTCTCCAGTCAAAAGAAATAGATTCTAACATAAATATGTAACAAAAAACATTACGAATAAATGCTATAATATTTTAGATCATTTGAAGTTAAGAAATAAATGGAAAACTCTACTGGCTTTTTTTTATATAAGATTAGCGAGGAAATTTTTACAATGAGAAAAGAATATAACAAATTTTTTATTGGATTTCATTCTTTGTTAATACTTATTGATTAATACTTTTTTAGAAAATCGATTCGTCTCATCATAGAATTTCTGTTTATGAAAAAATACACCGATTCTGTTTATCAAACTTTATGCGAAATAACTTAATATACAAAATATGACACGTTACTTTTTCGAAATTACGTTAAATCATGAAGCGTTCAAAGTTTGTCCCTAAACGTATTAAGTTTATCGCAGTTGCTGACGATTATCATTTTAAGGAGTAAATAAGAAAGTCTGGGTTTTCCTCGACGCTCGAAATTTTGCCGTCGGAATGGATTTTCCTTCGAACTAAACCCGTCGCACGGAATTCGCTCTATCACGCTGCATCTAATGGCGGCCCTCCGGCTTTTTCAATTCCACGGCTTCTTTGAAGCCCGCGTTCGGCTTTTTCCACGGCCACGGGAACGTCGACAGATCATTTCTCATATTTCGCGCACACGCTTAACGACCATTTTCTTCCGCCCCCCCTCCTGTCCTTCTTTTTCTCTCTGTTCAACCCGACGGTCCGCCGCGTTGGATAATAATTCTTGCATTACTCGACAGAATTTTCGGTGCCGAGGATCCTGTGCCCGAGGATCGGGAGGACGCGCTCTTGTTCAAGCGCTCTTCCCGATTCGTTCACAGACCGGCGTATGTCCGACGGGATGGGACGCCACGCCGGAAGAGAATCCTCGAGGCCGAATACGCCGGCACGATTGTCCTATTCCGGAGGGGAGGGAGAGGGAGCAGTGACAATACGTATACATGTCGCGGTAATCTCATTTGTACCCTTCGACTAAGGGTGACGATTCGGTGCCAGTTAACTCCAGAACGGAGCTTGACGTCTCATTTGGAGCCGAACTGCCGAAGGAGCGCGCGAATCGTCGCGCGTCACCTGCCGTGAACGATAAATCGTAATTGCGATCATCAATCCTGCCGTTGATCGATGTCGAACTGTCGGCCGTTTCGTCGTGTCTTGTTTCGTCGAACGAGTGTGCGAACCGGTCGGGTCGATTCGATGGACGCGTCCTCGATGTGTCTTATGCTTATCATATCTCTTTAAAAGCTTCTGGTTGATCTTTTCAGCTAAATATGGAAGTTCATTAGAAACTTAACGTGATTAAACTCTAACGGGAAGATAATTGATAGCTTTAGCATCCAACTCTTTGAAGAATGTATGAAGAACGAAGTTGTTTGTACTATGCACCAATAACATTGATATAAAATGGTATGTATATATTTCTTATTAAATTGCCATATTGTTGCAAATAGATTTAAAATGTCTTTTTGGATAAATCGGGCTAAATTTCCTACAACAGCATTTGACAAGTAACACGTTCTTGTTAATATTTTTTAGTAAGTGCTTTAGTAATGCTGCGTTTGAAATAATAGGACATAAATTAATCGACCACTATGACCATTCATTACCCGTCGTATAAATTTGTACAAAATTCTCCACTAAAAAAACAATTACACTCGCAAATTTTTCTGATTCTGTTTCTGATAATAGACCAATTGCATTTAGAATATTTTGTGAGATATAATTATTTATAATCATCAGGATATGTATGCGATCCGAAAGTATTAATTGTTCGTCCACAGACGGCGTAGCCGACGGGACGCCACGATAATGATTGATGCTAAAGTTGAAATAAAAAAAAAAGCATTTGAAAATATCCGTAGGCAAATTATCGAGTTTAAGAAGAATTAATCGCAATATAAGAATCGATATGTGTAAACTGGGTTCTCTCTTAAACATTGTCAATGAAGCGTCGCATGTCTGTTGTCAAACCGCGACGATTAAGACAAATTGCTGTTAAAGCAACTACACGTGCTTGCGTTACGTAATAATACACCGAGTCGCGCTGCAATACGATACAAATACAATCGCCTGACGCTCTTCTACGCATACCTTTGTCCACTAGATCCTAATCCAGGATGTCAGAGAAACCCGGAAAATAATCCAAAACTCTGTTCACGGTAACCACAGTGGCAGTACTCGAGTCACTAAACTGATTCGTATTAATCGTAAACAATTGCAAAGATACGACTAAGTTCTCGCACTAGACACATGGTTTACGGATCTGCAGCTCGAACAACAGCGTCGTTCTTCAGGAAACAGCTCGATTTCCAGCTGAAACATCGAGTTCTCCTTAGGATAACTCCTTAGGACACAGAACGGAATATCTGCGGAAACAGTTTATCCGCATTCCAGAATTCCCAAGGCGCAGGATAATCCGCATTCTCGAGCGCATTCTTTATTCTTCGGATATTGCAC